GGACCGCGGGACTCGGGGCCACCTCGGAGCCCTACGACCCTGAGCCGCCCTGCCCGGCGCCCCCTTTGGCTGCTGCCTCCCTCCAGGTGCCCCTGGCGTCCCCTTCCTGTGAGCCGCTGCCTCTCTCGTGACCCCATTTGCTGCCTTTATATTGCAGGATTGAGCTGACCTCTGACCTCACTTCCCTGTAGCAAGTTCCCTAGGTCCTGAGCCTCAAACATTCTTGCAATTCCTTTTGGTAAGGAGATTAATTTGTTAGACTAGTGGTGTTTCCCTCACAGTGTCTCTACTACGTGTCCCCACTGCCATCGCCCCGGTGGTCTAACCCCCTCCTTGCCGCCTTCATAACCAATGGATGTACTTCCCTCCCACCCCAGCAGGAGGGATTCCCAGGGCCAGGGGATCCCAGAGAGAAGATAAGTCTTTGACGCTTGCGGTGCTAATGCCCCCTTGGGAGCTGGGGAGCTGCCATCCCTGAAAGCGGCAGTGGGGGGCGCTGCAGGATTGTGGACAGACACCCTGGGAGCACTCTGCTCTGAGCTGTGGGAAAGGCGGGTGCTGATCATCAGATCCAGGGCCACGTAATGTCCTGCTCGCTGGTGTAAACCCAGTGTGACCACACGCAGCTGCTCCCGAGCTCGAGTGGCAGAACTAGGGAGCCACAGCAGATGCTGCCTGGCACCCAAATCCCTGAATAGGACCCCCGGGAGAAGAGGACAGAGAGGGCTGGACATGCCTGACCTCCTCCGAGGCCCCCCAAACGGGGCTGAGGCAGCACTGTCACCCCCTTCTGCTCAGGCTGGTGCACAGAGTGGCCGGGAGGGGCCGTTAGAATAGGAGAGGCCAGAGCCCAGCTGTGACTGGGCTGTCACTGCCACCCATGTTCAGAGCCAGGGCCTCGGACACGGAAGGAAAATCCAGGCCCAGGAAGGAACCCTTCTGCGTTATTTTTGAAGAAAGCAGAGCATCCAGTGCCCAAGAGGACCTTCCTGGTGGGTCTTCTGGAGTCTCCAGACCCCCAGGGCACACTCTGCCCTCCTGCGGGGAGGAGACAGAGCCGGGAGCAGCTCTCCAGTGAGGGAGGTGTCCCCCACTCCTCATGGGCACCGCAGTGGTCCTCACTGTGTGCTCTGAGTCGAGGAGGGGCTGGCGGAGGTCACGGGCAGGTGGAGTTCCTGTTCCTTCTGTCACTGCCTGCCCGGCACGCTCCCTGGCTCTGCATGCCTAGCTCCCTCCTGCCCTGCATGTGGTCCCAGCTGAGCTGCCTGGGCCCCTTGGGGTAATGCTTGAGGTTGCAGAGGCTGGTCAATTTGGCTTTGTTTTTTCACCTTCAGCACGATAGTCCCTGTGGGGCCTGGGGGAGCAGGTGGCTTGCAGGATAGATCGGGACCTAGCCGAGTCCAGGGAGCTGCCCTAGAATTTTCCTATGAAAAATAACGTGCATGTTACTGTGGAACCACTGAAGCAAAGCCAGCAAGCGGGCACTCTCTTCTTTGCCCATCAGATTCTTCCCTGCCAGACTCTGTGCCTGTTCGATTCTCATCCCACTGCTCAGGGTGCCCAGTGGAGCTGCGAGCTAGCTAACGGGTGAGGTGCTTGCCTGAGGCATATCAGCTTCACCGGTGTCTGTGGTGGCTCCCTGCTCCCTCCCAGAAGCCCCAGAAGGATGGCTAACAGGTTCCGGGCAGGCAGTCAGGAAGCAGGACTGCGAGCAGGAGGCGCCACCGGAGCTCTCCTGAGACCTTACCTGGGCACCCTGCCCTTGGGCTGCTCACAGGTAGAGCTTCCTCTGCCCAGGGACTGGCAGAGTGGTCAGCTTTGTAAATCTAGAGTCCAGCCGGCTCTGAACTCATCTCCTCAGGTCTCTTCTGGGTAGAGGTTCACATGCTTCCTTGGCATGGCCCGGCCTCTGAGTACGTCCTAGGGTCCCAGCCGCAGCTTGTCTGGGAGGTGCCAGCCACCTGCTGGTCCCAGAGGAAAAGCAGAACTCAACCTGCTGGCCAGGCCACATTGAAAGGTCTGCAGGACTATCCTGACTCTGGAAATGCACACGACTCTAGAGGAGGGTTTTGTATGGCACAGAGGACAAGGGGAGGAGGAGGTGGAGGAACCACAGCTCTAGGATAGCTGTCCTAGTACTTCTGCCTGATGTATGTACCCATGAAACCACAACCAACATGCCAGGGTGAATTTCAAATTCTGGAAATGCTCATTGACGCCATCCTCCAGGAGAGGGCGCCAGAGACAGGCTCAGCCACTCTCCTGCGCTCTGTCAGTTTCTTCTCAAGGGTAGGCACGCCTTTCCTTGGGCCCTCTGGGGGAAGTGTAGGCTGACCGTATCCCCAGAAGGAACAGAACCCAGCCAGTAGGAACCAGAAACTATCTTGGGTGACAGAAATGCCAGTGCAACCATCCAACCAAAGACCAGCTAGCTTGAGTGCCCAGCTACTTCCAAAGCCTCTCAGAGGGTGAAAGTGGCCTGTGGCTACCAAGCTGTGGGCAGGGTCGGTCGGGATCTCTGCGAGCTCTGGCCAGCCTTGCAGTGAGACTCCCCTGCTGCGGGTGACAAGACACAAACTGCCAGGCGTGTGAGGACCTGGCATCTAGTGCAGCTTCTGCAACTTCAAACATTCTCTTTGGCCCTTTTCTCTCCCGGCGCACTTGTAAGATGGAATTGAGTAAAATGCATTCTTTTTTTCCCTATTTCTTTTTGCAGAATGGAAGAATAACGAAGTTATCCTTAGCCTCCTCCTGAATGCTTTTCCTTTTGGCATCTTAAAAGCTTGAGTGATAACACAGGAAGCCCCAGAGAGGAGCCCACGCAGTCCCGGGGGTCCTTGCCTACAAATGTCTGAGACGCAGGACCCCCGCCCCAGTCAGGACTCCCCCTTGGCTGGCGGGACCCTTGGCGGTGTCCGTGGCCCTGCCCCATCTGGAGACGCTCACCCCGTTTGTGCGGGCCCCTTTGTTAGCCTGAAGGGTTTTAAGAGACGAGCCAGACTTTGGACTTGAGTTTCTCTTACCACCCACGCTGGCCCTCCACGCGCCCTTATACCTGAGGAACAGCGACTTCAGCGGCTCCAACATTTTAAAATCAGAGTACGATTTCTCTCAGTCCTCTTCCCTTGGCCCTCACGGAAGCCAAACCACAAGAGACTGAGGAATGACAGACCAATGCAGCCACACTGCCCGGTGCTCACGAGCTCTGTCAGGGATGGCTGACCGTGACCCTCCCGCTTGGAGCCTGCTTCCCTCTTTCTCTCCCTGGCTCATCCCAGGGATGAGAGGCGCCATATTGATTACTGGGCAGCAAACAGCCAGTGCCAGTACTGGCTTTACACTGCCCTTCTCTGTCACCTTGATGTGGCTTGGCTCCAGCCCTCTTGGCTGAAGAGGCCTTTTCACTGACATTCTTAGCTCAGCAGAATCTCACTTTTGCTCTGGCAGAAGCAATAATAATAGTTTTAGTTTAAAATAGATTTCTGGGCTATGCCTTTTCCTAGAAGGTGTTGTAGATTAGTTAGAACCTCACCAGAAAAGCAGATCAGTCCCAGGTTAGCTTCTTGGGATTTTATATTTGACAACATTTATACTATAGCAATTTACAGTTCTTAGATTTCTTGGCTAAAACCTTTTTTTTTTCTTGTCCTAAAGCAGTTTACAGAAAAATTTTGCTTTTTTTTTTTTTTTT